GACTCCCACCTAAGAAATATCACCGTTTGCATGAGAGCATCAGTAGCCTTTTGAAGCATTGACTTCGGGGACCAATCGAATTCCGAATAATTGTTGCTATAGTGATTTCAGAAGAGCCCGACACATGTTACTAAAAAATAGGGTTAACTTGACGTGGGTTCATTTCACCCTTTCGCTGGACTCCCACCCATTATCGTGGTACGGCAATGATTCGACCTCGGTCGCCGTGAGACAGGGCCCAAGTAAATGAGCTGGACATGTAAAGTAAGGCTATGAGGGAGCTCTGATAGCTCTCCCCATTACATTTCTTACCCTTCTTACGTTCGCCTTTCGTCAATGACTGGTAATCTAAACAGGTTCAGCGATGCAGATCAGCTTGGAAGTTTTAATTGCGCCGCACCCTTTGAGATGTTTCCGTTACCTGCCCGATAGGTTTGCAGCGAATTCGTTGGATGAGATTTGGAGCGGACTTTCCTTATGATATTATTATAATTTTATTTATTTATATTAATTATTATTAATTTTTAATTGCTTATTTTCTTACTCTATATTGATTATTGATGTTTTCATTTTTTATATTAATTTTATATTAATTGTGTTGAATTATTAAATTGCCAATCAAATTAGCATATAAAATACTGTGATATCTTTTTGTAGGCGAGATTGATAATACACAGCTAAGCAAAGGCCAGCAAGATCACTGTACTGTTCTAACATTTCTGCAAAAATTTTCGGTGACGTTTACGGGAGAGCTGAGAAAATGGGATGGATTCAGAGTGTTTGGCCTAGAGTGCAAGATTCAGCGGGATATTTTGCAGTCCTACTCACAGAATCTTTCCAAACGCCCATCTGCAGCATTAAGTGACTAGGATATATGCCCAGATTATTCCGTAGAAAGCAGAGTCCAAACGTCATCAAATCAAGTAGCTTCCATACATCGGAAGATAAATGGCTGCCTAGAAACAAGAAAATGGCACGATCCCAACGCTTTCAATCTTCAAGCAGGATTACCATCCTCAATAGACTCTTAATGAGCAGCGACGAAACCTTTTTGGTAGAAAAAACCGGAGCTCCTAGGCTCTGAAACAAATCCAATACCCAAACTTGATTTTAATCGATTTTTGAGAGATTAAAACTAATTGTAAGTCAATGAAAATTATAGTAGGAAGGGTAAAGTCTCGGACCGTAAATCCATCCCGCTTGAGGGATGCCTCCACGCATCCGTCCGTTCGAAATCGTAGTGGCGCAACGAGTGCGTATGTAGCCTATACAATGACCTGCGGGTAGCCAGCCGATGTACAAGTGTCAGTGCTTTTATCCTTCCAGACGAGTCTGGTACCAAGTAACCGACCCCGGAGGGATGAAAACCTCGGTTGGCCTAGGTGAATATCGATCCGGGATTCGAACCTCTAACCGAAAGTGTGACATAGTGCGCCACTTGCCACTAAACCACTTCCGCCTAGTAATATACATAGCATCGAGTAACGTGCAAACGTAAAAAACGTGCCACCGTAATGAATTCGCTCGCCCGACTTCCTAAGATTTCTCCCGAGGCGCAGTCCAAACCAAATCTTATCAAGTGACAAGTTGTTTGAACTTTCTACATGGGTTCTCTTGGAATCGGTGTAGCCTCTGTAATGCCCGTGAAACTCGTCCGAGGATACACACGGTACAATCTTGAAATCTTTATAACGCCCTAACTAACCCGTTTTCCGATCTGATAGCTCCTGATACGGTATACGAGGGGATCTCGAAATTATCCTTTGAGGAAAGCTCAGAAAATCTTTTTATGGTGAAGTGTACTTTCAACCACCCGCTGTAAAAGTGAAATCGGTGGTTATGTATCGGTTCCCTAGGAGCATACCGTAGCGTTTTCTGAGAGAATGACACGGTACCGTCCTCCGGTGTACTAGCAACAGTACATTCAGGGTAGTTCAGACGTCCAAATCACTGAATTGCGCAGACGACCAACGCGCTTACAGACACAAACGCTGAGACTTCAAAACGATCGTCTATTTCCCATCGAATCGACGGTCAGATAGGAAGAAGACGAAGAAAAGAGCACCAATAGTGATACCTAGTTCTGCCAGAACACTAAAAAACAATCTCATCTAAAAAAAGGCAACTGTATTCGTGAAGAAAGCAAGGCAGTTATAAAATTTGGAAGTGGACAATTTTTTGTACTAGCCCCTACTTACCCTTCTCTACTCGGTGGTCGAAAGTCACTGGGAGCGGTAATTTTAAAAGTAATCGCGGAATAAATCATAGGGCAAAACCGAGCGAATATTAGCGGACTTTTCGCAAAACTACGCATAATCCTGCTTTGGAAGAAGAAGTCCTTTGGTAGTTCAGTTCGAACGCCAGACGGGTTCATCGGCTATTTCACCACAAGAAATCTTGCCCGTGGCGTATCTTATGATTTCATCTTTTACCCGTCCGATAGTCGTTTTTGCTTTGGAAATCAATACGTTAAGCAATTAGAAACGAAGTCCACTTTTAAAGATGTTGCGAAAGTCATTTCCAATCATGGCGGATATCCGTCATTGAGATACGCCGCTCCAGACTTAATGATAAGAAATTAACGAGTTTTACCGGTAACCAAGAGATCCGTCTATTTCAACCTAGCGTTTCGATCAATTTAGGTAGAGCTTTTGCAACAATTTCTTGGGGAAGGCTTCCACCTTCATATTTACCAATACGGACGGAATTCCATGGTATCCAATGAACATGTCCGTTGAAATTCTTCAGGTCAATCAATCGGTATAGGTTTGGATCCGCAAGAATGTGAAAAAGAAGTTCATAAGTAGGGCTGGGATAGGCACTGAGCCCCTTGTAGCACTTGATGAGGGCTGTACTGTTAATTCTTAGCAGTAGATTGTAATCCAGTTTCTCGGAAAGCTTCCTGAAGTTCATATGTACCAGAGGTATTCCTGAACGAGTAATTTGTTCCCCTGTTTGATGTGTTCACGCCAGGTATGCTTCGGTATCTCTGCAGCTTCACAGGTCTCTGATAGAGGATATGGATTAGAGCCAAGTGGCGCACCCGCTACATGCGCGAGACGGGGATCGGATTCCGGATCGATTGTCGCTTAGGTCAATCAAAGCTTTCATCCGGCTGCGTTCATTAAACTGATACCCGACTGTTCTGAGAGGAGAGAAGCATGAGAAAAGCAATGTACGGGTACAATCAAGCAGCAGATTAATCGCGACATCGACCCATGGGATCCAGATCACCTTTTACCTGGAACTAACTGCAATGGCCCTCAGAATGATCTAAGTTTACCCAGAAGGGGATTACTCGTTAAAAAAAGAAGCGAGTCATCAAGGGAAATATATACAACGTACTTCGAATAGTCTTGCCTCGTTCTAGTGGCCACGGCCATGAGAACGAGGCAATCGCTCAAGGCCATGAGATTTCATTCAGTGCCATCCCTAGAAGTAGAATTCTCCATAGAGTATTATAGTTTTTCAGTTTTTAGAAGTCTTTCGGGTCGACTGTCTAATGTTGCGAGGCCTGTAAAGAGACTTTTAGGATAATGCCGGTGATTTAACCGATAACGACGTCTACGCACACGTTTTCCTGTGGTGGTCATGAGGAAACGACTGTTTTTGTCCTCATCGACAACACTATTCTGGACATCACAACATTATGATCTCGCTCGTATCATTAAAAAAATGAATTGGGAAACTACTGCCTCTCCCACACCTGACGTACCTTTCCTTACTACCACATTAACGGGAACCCAATGTGTTCAAGTCCGAAGTGGAACTCGAAGTTCTAGGGTTCGGGGTAAGTAGTATAGGGACACTCACCCTCCACAATTTCTATGGGTTCTTAGATAAAAGTTGATTTTTGATGGCTTATAGCATTCAGTGGTACTATCCCTTTCTCCCCGAAGGGCTTGGGAAGGCTCTGATTTACCGCAGTGAATCTTGGACCGTTAAACTGAAGCCATCAAACTATTGGTTCCAGGACTAAGTCAGCAGAATAGACATCTATTAACTTATTTATTTATATTAACGGTAGCTCGAAACTTTTGGCAGCCGCCGGCGCCCGCTCCTGGATTTGGTCGTCTCCAAGAGAGGCTACTACGTCCTTAGGGAGTCTCCCCGAGAATGGGAGAGCCGGGCCCCACTTCTTTAGAAAGAAAACCCTCCTGACCTGAGCAGTACTTGAAGTACATGGCCTGAATGGACGAAATCGTCACAATCTTCAATAATGGGCATCCGGGGTCGGATTGTTCTGATGACACTTGCCCCCGCCATCCTACTTGGGTGTGACTTCGGCGATCCCGACCATTCACTTAATGACGATGTGATCGCAGAGCAGACCCATGCCCCCTATTACTTAGAATGTTCGAGGTGATAAAATTGCCGATTATGTTCGATGTTTCTTCAATTAGAAACGGGCTGGTGTGATCCGGCCGTCAGTCATTTCAATTGGGTCATCTCCCCCGCCTCTAGGAGGTGGGGTGGCTAAGTCTGAAGAGAGCGCGAATCATCGTCGTCGCCCGTGCTCACTTTCTAATTGGACTCTGCAATGGTTTTGGTTCCGTTGCTACTCCTTTTACTGGCTTCGGCCACAGCTCAAATGGATCCTAAAGGTTAGTTCATAGCCTTCATGAACTGCTTATGGTTTTGACACTGGTTGGGCTTGTACTGTACTTCACAAGCTAGGTTCTTCCAGGAACTTCTGGGGTCAGAGCTACTCGTGATGAACTGATGCTTAGATTCCATGGGAGTCATTAGTGAAAATGTAACAGACAGGTTACCTGTAACTGGGTGACCCNCGTGTTTAGCGCATGCGTTTTCACGCGCTCAGTGAAACTGGCGTTCCTTCGCTTTCTTCCACTCACTTTTACATTCGGGATCCCTATTGGTAGCATGGAAGAGTTTTTCCCAATGTCGGAATTCCTATCCTAGAAACGTTCCCTTGCGATGTCTGAACGATGTTCCCGGAGAAAACTCGAGATTCCTTGATTCCGGATGAAATGAACGACAAAGGTTCGGGTTGATAGAGAATCGTATCTCGTCGGGCGACCCGGCTTAGCATAAATTCGATGCAGATAATCCCATTAGGTCCGTGTTTCAAAGACTTGTTCTTTCATTCACATAATTATCATGGTTAAACTCTGCGATGACCGAAATTCGTCAATTCGTAGATGATGGACAGTTCAGCCGAAAGAACCCCCAGAGTTTTACACTATACTACCCCTGTTGTAAAGAGTGGAGACCGACGGCTAGGCAAACTTTAGGGACAAACCTCTTGCTTGAATCGCTTAGAATAGCAGTAAATCGTGCAACTTTAATGTTTTACCATATTTATCCTTAAAAAAGTTCTACTGCGCATTTGCATTTGTTACAGTCCGAAATTCTTCAGGTATAAAGGCAGTTCATTACCCTGAAGAGCCGATACACTCGTTTTGCGCAGGAATAATCGTAGAGTGTCGATTCTGGCACAGCTATATTCAAACATAAACCATATTCTGATAGTTGGCTGATAGTATGGTGACGTAACCAATCAAGTCGTCTTACTTCAATCCTCTGTAGGACCAATTTGAAGACCCTTCTAAGGGGTGGAGGAGAGATGGAGGGTTATCGCAAAAACTCGTATCAGCTCATTTCAAAACCCCTCTTCCCAATGTGGTAACTGTGATTTGAATGCGATCTCGCTCTTCCACGAACTCCCGAAGACCTTTTCTTGTGTAGACCACTAACACGGTTGAATTCATACTTGATTCACATGAATAAATATGTTGTGAAAAAAACCGTGCGAGACCATTGTACTGCACAGGCGCTAGTAGAAATGTATGGTAAAATATCATACTTATCATCTCATCCAGTAAAGTTTTCGGGGCTCTACGAAAGCTAAGTCGCTTGAAACCAAACTATTGATTTGTTCGTGATTCAAAATGAAGTATATTGTACATCAGCTGGGGCAATATTTGGCTCCAACTGGAAGTTATGCAGTGATGCATTCATCCCTGTTTGAAAGTAATTATACAAGGAGATTTGTAAAAGCATATCATTTAACTTTAGAATTTTACAAGTTACTAGGATTATCATGCTATTTTAGTAGCATTGATCGGGGCGTTTTCAACTTTGATCCTTCACCCACTTAAAGTGATCTTTTTCACGGACTCCATAACGGAAGCTTTCAGATATGAGATAGATGGGGTCAAATCGCATAGTTTCAGATACGATACCATCCGTTTGTATGAATAGACATCCAGTTCAAGGCTATCTACTTGTTTTCTGGCACATTTCCTTCGCATTTACATATTATCTGGACCGATTCGGTGGAAAACTGACCATTCTCTCAAAGAGTTATCACCATTCAAAGAGTTATTACCACTGCTGGACCATTTCATAAAACGAATACCCCTTTTAATGATGAAAACGACGTCGTTTGTCAAAGAAGTGAATATTATGTAAAATGGATTCATCCCTGTCAAATAGGATGCCTGACGATCCTGCAACAAATGGAAGAATGATAAAGACTGTGGCTTCAATCAATCCCCTTCTTGAATGCGCTCTGCATCCGACTTCCATTCGTAATCGTACTGGCATTTCCAACGCGTGTGCGTACATCAAGTCAGTGTTCAAGTCAGTGTTTTTATCCTCCCAGACAGTCTGACGCCAGTCAACCAACTCTGAAGGGATGGAAGGTCTAGCTGGCATGGGCTATACTCGAACCAGGCTTGTGCTATGATCTTGAGGGTTCTTACGGTGGCCATCAAAGTTGTCACCATCAGATTGTTTGTTTATGAATAGAAGTAACTAGTAATCACCTAGCGTATTCACCTAGTAACTAGAAATCATCTAGTAATCACAAGGATTACGAGAAAAGAGCGGCGAATTTTTTGCAGTTCAAGACGTCTTTTATTGCATCTCCGTCAGAGGTTTTTCGATAACCTCCGTTTACGACATCCTAAATCATTGAGTGTGAGATAAATCACTTGTGAGGAGAATTGAATTGTGGGAGCCAAAATAGAACGTAAGGTTCATTTGTTGATGTAAACCCCTCTAAAACAAAGGCTTATACAAGGAAATTTTCAGGTAGTTGGCTATACTTCGCCAACTCAATCGTCTTCTATCGCACTCGTAGAGTTCCTTTCTTTTTTTCCTCTTGGACAGCTAGCCAATAATTCATAACAGCCCTGTCCAAGGATGAAGTACTTTGGAGGCTCAACTTTCGTTTTATCGAATAGCTATAAAAGGAAATTTCTTTGGCGTTAATAAATTCAAGTTTTGAGATGTGCCCTGCAGTCGACTTCCATTCAGGATCGTAACGGTATTGGGCTTGTGCAATGCCGTGGCCACCCAATGTAAAAGCCATGCTTTTATAATCCTAGACGAGCCTTATGTCGAACAATCGAGCTTGTAGGAATGGAAGGTTTGGTTGGCCTTGGCGAGTATCGAACCGGGATTCAATGTTCGGACCATTCGTGTGCGGAAGTGCACCACTTGTCTCTATACCACCTCCACCCTTTACCAACTATGAAATATTACCATAGCCCGTCACTCGATCATTATCACAAAGGTGGTGGGTGAACTGTGAGAGAAAGGTTGGGCCTTGAATAGGAATCTAACCCACAAAATGCCCTTTATGGAAAACAAATTCGAAACAAAATCTAATCGGTCTCGTTTTTTATCTGATCGACACGTTCCATTTCTTCAGAGCCTGCTGCGTCAATCGGGTCAATAGGACAGTGTGTATTGTCGGGTGAATGTAAATAAACTCACAAAGTAGTTACAATTCATATGATGGGATTGCTCTGTCGCGATGTTCTTGAGCCTAAGGTGGACGTCGCGGTTTATCTGTTCTGTAGAATCGTGCTTCGCGATACCTTCCCCTCCCTTCCCGATCTTTTGAAGATAACAAGACTCTGAAGACCTTCGAATGACCCTCTTGTTGTGCCTCCATACCTCATCCATCTCATTTCCAGATAGGGAGTACCCCATATGTTAAATAAATAAATAAATAAATATGCACAAGGAAGGTACTCCTTATCCGGGTATGGGATGGATAATGGAATAATTCGGTCAAATGCAACTGTATTGCAGCTTTATCTCGCGATGACGTGCATATGCAATTGCGTGTGTCCCATTTACCAAAACTCCGTCCCCATCCCCGTCTGGGCGTGGGCAGGATGATGCCCTTGATGGTAAAGAGAAAGTGCAAGAGAAGGAATGTCTTTGAACGGTCATTCAATCACAGCCTTACTTTTATCAGGAAAGGAACCATCGGGAAACCCCTGGAATTTTGTTGACTCCCGTGTGTCAGTTCCATACTGAAGGTCTGAAAATTACAGCATTGCGACCGTGCTTCGAACGGTATCCGAACTATCGACTAGTCAGCCTCAAACCGTATCATAGCGAGTGGAGGATGCGTACTGAAGAGTCTTGCCTGCAGTTCTGTAGTGACACGAGGGTAAGCTCCTATTTTATCGGGACGATCCCATTCTTCGACTATTTGTACTTTCATTAGAGAGAATTACGCAAAAAAACTATTTCAGTCCCGATGTCGATCGATCGTCTACGATTCCGTACAACACATTTGTCATTTCTTTTTAGATGACGGGAATGATTTCGCGATTCCAGCTGCAAAAATGATTTATTTAAGGGTCACCAGCAGGGACTGTTTAGGTTTGCGACCAAACGATTATTTGACAGTAAAAAGTGACAGTTCGAATCACCTGTGATCGATATCGATCAATGTTCTTCAAGATCCCGGTCACGCGTCAGGAGAAGTAAGCTATATGGACATAAATTCTCGTGAAAAAGACATGGCTCCACCTATGGCTATGCCTACACCTATGTCCATGCCACCTATGGCACCTATGCCCACTGTTCCTCCCGGACAGTTCATCATTCCGGCCACACCTACAGAATCATTCGAAACGGTGAGCTTTGAATTGAATTCAATGCAGTGATCACAAACTGCAAAATTCAAGTTCCTTTCACATGAAAGTTGTGAGCTGGCCGTTCTAGGCGGATTGGATGATTTTTGGAAGATGGAGAGTTTTTGTCAACTAGTAAAGTAAACAAACAAAAACACTGGAAAATGTTCCAATTTCATTTTCGTAAGATTTGGTAAATTCCTTTTGAATAGGAACTTGTGTACCGTTAAGGAAGATTTTAAATGGATAAAGAGAGAAAAGTGAGGGGATGGGCAATAGGCAAAAAGTGATAATAATTAAAAAATTAATAAAATGAATGTCTTTTTATACGGAAATACACACTTCCTCGCACTCGTGATATTGTAGTTCTAGCATTTTTGAAAACGAAATGAAGAAATGAAAACCTAAGTGCCTCTCAATTTAGACAACTGAAACACCTGCAGCGGATACATCATTGGAAATGGATATGGATATGTTCGACGATTTCACCACTCCAGCAAGCCCCTTCGATGAAGCCAGTTAGTTCATCTAAAGATTTCAAACCGAAGGGGGTACAGTGGAATGAAACACCAATCCCTGCGTTTGCACCTGCGTTTGCACCCAGGTGCCGCGCACGGGGATTTCGTGTCCCTATCTGGAGGTATTACCTTCAATAGATTGAACTAAACACAGGAAAACGTTCATGCTTATGAGAAAATGCTGGGGTAGACTGAAAATCTCAAAAACTTCTGATACAGCACTTGATATATTTATAAGTAATGAGTTGTTTTGTTACAGTACTCGACAACGCTGAAGAGGACATCGAGTTGGAAAGACTTCAACGTAAAAATGAGCTGATGCGAGATATAAACGGGCTAGAGAATCAGAACAAAAGGTACACCCCTCTTTACACCCTAGTGGTTCTGATCAAACTACAAATTCCTATTTCAGATGGCAATCGTCGATGGAGCAACTGGTGAAAAATACGGATGAATTTGCTTTCAAGGGCACACGTGTGTCTCCGGTGAGTTATTCGAGCAGAACTGCCGTTTTAGAGCGGCGCCATGGAATTTTATGACTTTAATAATGATAATAAATAGAATGGTTGACTTTACTGACCACACTAGGGAAACATCATGATGACGACTAGAGGTTCTTCCCAAGCATAGGACACTTCCCAGAGGTCCTGTTTAGCTTAAGGGGTTTTTGAGGATCATTTCGGGGCAAAAAGTCATGCAAGGCTGTCATATTTCCATTATACTTTATAAACGTGAATTCATTTTTTTTTGTAATTCTTTATTTTGACACCAAATCGCTTTGTACCGTATCATATCGATTTGATGTTCCTTGTCAGTGCTGCTTGCTTCAATTTCCATCCACCCTGCATTCTCATGATAGCATGATCTGAAATGAGGTTAACGATCGACAATGAACTCGTCCTGCTAAAGATCTTAGGCACTTTTAAAAGAGAAAACTTGCTCAGAAAAATTATTATTCTGACTCATTCGACGATAATTTTCAGCCTGTGAGAGCCGTTAAAGTTCTACCACCCCGAATTGAGACCTCGACTGCAACTGTTCATGTTGCAACTGTTCCTGTGAAACCTACGGAGGTGGAGCCCATCATTGAAAGGTCGACAACACGAGCTCCAACAACGACCGAAAGTGTCCTCCTTATCAAGGAGAAGCTGTTGGAAAAACTAGGTAAAATGAAATAATTCACTTGAAAAAACGTTCACGGTAGTACTTGTAAATGGATTGAGTCCATCCATTTAAGGCCAATCCTTTAATCCTCCCAGGCGAGTCTTTTACCAATTAGGCCACCTGAAAAGGTGGAAAACTTTGTTGGTCTAAGCGAGAATCGGGCCAGGTGACCCCCGTAACATTGGACCTTTGTAGGTAACTTACCTCTATCAATTTCGACCTAGCTTATTCGTTAGGATTCAAAACCTAGTCGAAAAAAGTACTCAAGGAAGTTTGCGTCATGTAATTACCCCTTTCACATGTATTATCCCTACGCGAGTGAAAAAAAAATCTTCTGCTTCAAATGGGAAAGAGCTTGGGCGGCTTTAGAAAGCCAAAAAACGGTTATTTGTCTTTTTCCCCTCTTGTAATTGTTGTAGAGGAGAAGGTCGAGATTGAAAAGAGCAGATTCTAATGGATTCAGGTGAAAGATGTTCTGGTAATAAGTAAATGATTTCTATGCTATTTCAGATGTTCTCAAGCAGAAGTACCCGAGCAGATATGCCCAATATCTTGCTGAGAAAGAAAAAAGGCTCGGCATGGACTCGTTTTTATCGTCAAGGTTATCGTCGAACGAAGACATCCTCACTCAGATTCCTGTAGATCCTGTAGAGACAGTAAAAACGATTGACAACAGTTTATCGATCGAAACAGCAAAAACAATCGACAACAGTTTATCGATCGATGACGCAGAGGTCGTGGTGCCCATGACACCCATAAGGCCAAAGAAGCATAGGAGAACGGTATGCTCCACGGTACTGTAGGTATATGGACTCTGCCGTGAACAGCGTATTTCAGAAGTTTTCTGGAAAACGAATCGCATTCTCTGATGATCATATGTTCTCAAGGAAGATTGATGGAGCAGACATTCGAAGGCAACAGCAAAGTAAACTCAAGGTGAGCTCTTCCTGATTTCCCAAAGAGAGGGGGATTCCATTTCCGCGGACCCCGGTCCCCATAGGGACATTCAAGTTCACCTGCCATAGAGTCTACGGAGTGGGGTCAGCTACCAGAAAACTCATTCCAAGTCCTCTGTATCAGCTAAATCGTTATTTTTTGTTACAGCAAGTATCATTGAGTGCATCTACCTCACCTCCCTTTGTCAACAAAGCTCGAAGTTTCCTGGATATGGTAAATAACAAGCGAGATCGTACCCATGGAGTGAAAAACAATGTTCTCGTGGAGAACCAATTGGACAACTCGGCAACGGTAACAATAACTGGCTCAGATGTCACAGGTAGGTAAAGTTCACCTCAAATTACTTGCTTCAATCGATTTTGTCGATTTTTTGTTGACCCAAAACCTGAGGCCGAGAAGCTGTCCATTGCTAGAAACCTGGTGGACCTACCCATTGAAGGCAACGTTCACAAAAAAAGTTAGAGTACCCTTTTTTGACGGGAATTGATAAAACTACTCTAGAATAAAGCGATAACAACGAAGAAAGCGCAAAAAACGATGAACAAAAAGAAATAGAAAGGGTCAAAAAAAGAGCTGGAAAGGGGGTTGGACTAGTCTCACATTGAAAT